TCGGTTGTTCTCATCTATGTTCTCGTTCACTACAGCGATACAATTCACCATTATAAGGCGTTGTTTTTAAAAAAATTAATTCGATTTTATAATAAAAATGTTTTCTTCAGCACTCATTTTATACACAAAAGACCATTAGACCAAAACCCTAATAATAATGATAGCTAATTAAAAATTCCTTATATTCATTATTTTTCTAATTATAACCTAAAGGTTGAAATCACCCTATATCTAGTTAACATCGTATTTAATGACATTCAGACAATATAAAATAAAGAATCTTAATGATTTTGCATACCATTATAAACAAAAATGCTCAAGGTGAACATGAAGATTATATATGTTTATATGGACGTGAACAAACCGTGGGTGTACTCATATTTTACTCTAAATAAGCATTAGAATTTATATATAATTTGTACATGATTATATCTGAAAATTTGTTAAGTTTCAATGGAATCTGTTTATGATACCATACGTTCAAATCATTAGTAGTCCTTCTTTCTTTTGTATTGAACTCCTAAATGAACATAGTTTTTGTGTACTTTTGTAATTAAAGATAATCAATCAATTGTCAAAATACCATAAACTAAAAGAAATAACAATATGTGAAATTATAATTAAATACATTTTTAAACTAGGTGAAACCATTCTGAACATGAACTCTTATTTAATAGTTGGATTCATCAGTCACTCGAAGCTAGACAACCATGGAAAACCTGAAAACACTTGACAGTCGTTTCGTTCTAATATGAACCCTTATATAATGATTACTTCTTGACGTCAAAATTGCATTAAATAGAAACCTGTAATGAAGTGGAGGTTTCAGAAATTCCTTTTTGTACACAAATATAAAACTAAACATTTCAAAGATTTCATTAGATGATAGTAATGTAACTCACTATTAAAGCGTTTCTGTTTAGACTGAACAAAGATTTCATCAAGAACTTACACCACGTAAAAATCTAGTGTAAGCCAAATAATATTAGAAGCTTCTATTCAAAAAGATTTAGGAGGAAGAACAAGTGCCAATGGACTGGGAAGAAGGACACCTCGTCAAGATTTCGAAGAAAGGAGATCCAAGCAAATGTGAAAACTACAGAGGCATTACACTACTGTCAATACCAGGGAAAGTCTTCAACAGATTGTTGCTGAACCGGATGAAGGATGCAGTAGATGCCCAACTTCGAGATCAACAAGCTGGATTCCGTAAGGATCGGTCGTGCACAGACCAAATTGCAACACTACTGATCATCCTCGAACAATCAGTTGAGTGGAACTCATCACTATACATCAACTTCATTGATTATGAAAAGGCATTTGACAGTGTAGATAGGAGGACATTATGGAAACTTCTTCGACACTACGGAGTTCCTGAGAAGATTGTCAATATTATCCGGAACTCATACGACGGACTACAGTGCAAAGTAGTGCATGGAGGACAGCTGACAGATGCATTCCAAGTAAGGACCGGAGTCAGACAAGGCTGTTTACTCTCTCCCTTCCTCTTTCTTCTGGTGGTCGACTGGATTATGAAGACCTCAAAATCTGAAGGAAAACACGGCATACATTGGACAGCTCAGAACCAATTAGACGATTTGGACTCCGCAGATGACCTAGCCCTCCTATCGCGTACACATGAACAGATTCAGATGAAGACAGCCAGTGTAGCAGCAGTCTCTGCATCAGTAAGCCTCAGTATACACAAAGGGAAAACCAAGGTCCTCAAATACAACACGAATAACAGCAATACAATCACTCTTGATGGCGAAACCCTGGAAGGTGTGGAATCGTTCATGTACCTGGGAAACATCATTGATGAACAAGGAGGTTCAGATGCAGACGTAAAGGTGAGGATCGGCAAAGCAAACACAGCATTCCTACAGTTGAAGAACATATGCAACTCAAAACAACTTTCAACCAATATCAAAGTGAGAATCTTCAATACCAACGTCAACGCAGTCCTACTGTATGGAGCTGAAACTTGGAGAACTACAACAACCACCATCAAGAAAGTAGAAGTGTTTATAAATAGCTGTCTACGCAAGATACTAAACATCCATTGGCCGGATACCATCAGCAATAGCCTTCTGTTGGAGAGAACAAACCAGCTTCCAGCTGAAAAGGAAATTCGGATAAGACGATGGAAATGGATAGGCCATACACCACGCAAATCGTCAAACTGCATCACGAGACAAGCCCTAACTTGGAATCCCGAAGGAAGGCGGAAAAGAGGAAGGCCAAAGAACACATTGCGTCGGATAATAGAAGCAGATATGAAAACGATGAATTACAACTGGACGGAGCTAGAAAGGATTGCCCAGGACAGGGTTGGATGGAGAATGCTGGTGAGCGGCCTATGCTCCTTCACGAGGAGTAACAGGCGTAAGTAAGTAAGATATGACAAAAGAAGTGTTTTGTATAAGGACGAAGGTTACAAACTCAAACAAAAAATACGTATAAAAACAATTGCTATACAATACGAGTCTGTGAGCAGGCAGTAATAACATTGCTTGATTCTCACATAACCTCCATTCTTATCATTTATATATATCAAATTTATTTATTACCAATACAATGTTCGAATCTCAATCATCTTTAACAACTGATGAGAAACGATACCACCGGAGCACTTTACTTGGTTCACAAGGAATAAAGTAGTACATGCATTAAATACGTTTGCTTCATCTATATTCATAAAACGTTTACTTCTGTTAAACTGCCAGTCCTACACTTTGTATACTGCTTCAGCGTATGCATCATTACGAGGCATTCATTTTATTACAAATCAAATTAGGATATAATGCTACTGATAATCAGAAAGCAGTAGACGTATGCCTCGTTCTAGTATTTGGCTGCACAGTAGCGTAACCCCACGACCCACCGGGAATCGAGCCCATGGCAATAATGTATTAAGAAAAGTTCAGAAAATACTCAAAATGATAAACGGTTTTGAAGTGGTTATTAATTCACTCAGGTCAAAACGATTGAGAATGAGATTTCATTTTGAAGTAGGCATTGTTTATCAAAATATATAAAGAAATTTCATTGATATACTTCTTGTTTAAGGTCATTTTAATTTGTTTTTAGACTGTTAATAACAATAGTTGTTATAACAACTGGACAGTACTACATCAGTACGGAGTTTGTTTATATCCCATCAGTTTGCGACTGTGCGCTATTGTTATTGTTATTGGATGTAAAGAAAAAGTTTAAACCAGAACAAGTTTTTTTGAATGATGGTAAAGAATTCTAGCGGTAGAAATTCCTTTACAACAACACTTTATGTGCTCGGTTTTCAGCTACGAATTTTATGTGAGGTTTGTTACCCCCACGTATCATCTGTAACGGATATACACGAATCTTGGTTAGAAGGTGTGTTCTAATGGTTTAAAGAGCCTAAGCTAACATTAGAGAAAGGACATAGTTTCTGAAAATGTTATGTTATTAAAAATTCTATATCACTGACTAATTCAGAATAGCTCAATAATTTATCACATTCATAAATTCAAATTTAAAAGTGAATTGTCCTTATTTTGTTTTACCTCAGTTAACAGAGTCTTTCATAGTAGCTTAGAAATCGATATCAGAGATAAATCAGAGCATTCATTTTAAAACGCATAGTACATTCAACACATTTACCCTATTTATTTTTCTTTCATTTGAGATACTATAAACAAGATTTAGATGGATATCGTTTTTAGAAACGTTTCTTTATAATTCAGTTCCTTATTAATTTCGTCAATACTAAACTGGTTTATTCAAGATAACCATTTTTTTAACGATCCTTACATTGTACTTGGTATAATTTTTTAGGAATATAAATTGGAAGTATATAATACAATATTTGATCTTTGGTCATTACATCTCATAATTTCATTTAACATGTAAATTTATTCAAGTCAATACTTCATATTAGTTATCGTAACATTGATGTTTTTTTATTATTAGAAGCTTTATTCAACATTATAATTTTGGTTCAATATAAAATTCTCAGCACAAAGTATTTCAACGAGTTTCCTTTTCTTCTATCTTGATCGATTGTGACGATAAATTTTGAATGATGACCAATTAGATGTTAGGAGTTCGGTAATGCACATTTGATTAATGTTCATTCGTTTCAATGCATATTGTCAGCCACCATGATGTCACTGATTGTACCTTTTTGTAACCCGTATAGCAAAAGGTTGTAAACTTTTTATAAACGCTCCTGAATAGATTGTGAGCACAATAGACATAATGACGGGTTAAAACAAACAAGAAAACAGTTAACTTGATGAAATATCTAGATCGGAGGAACAGGTAGCCCAGATATTCAAGCAGGCCGCTACGTTATTAGAATTAATTCTAAATTCATATGCTATAATTTTAAACAATGTGATTTGTCTTAAATCTAAGCTTTTAATGGATCATTCAATTTAGATATATAATTATAGAATCTGAACTGAAAAAATTATTCTTCATTTATATCTTTGTTATAATTTTTTTGAAACATATACTCACAGATAAATACACATAATTCATTTTGATGGAGTTTCATTCTCTGAACTGGATGGTTTGGTCGTGTTATTATCATTATTGTTAATGATTATAAGAAATCAATCAAATTTATCATGGAAAGTACAATTTTTTAAATGTGAAATTTCTATAAAATATTCACAAACACACGCACACACATACACACACACACATAGAAACACATAACTTGGTCATCTAATAATTTTGTAAAAAATAAAGAAAAAAAAAAGAAAAAAAACGAAAAACATTCAATCAATATATTTTACCAAAAATGTTTATGTAATTAACGAATCAGATCATTAAAGAAGTAAGAAAAAATAAAAACAAATAAAATAAAATAGAATTGGAAATAAAACAATTCAGTTGTAAATTTTTAACTTAGATCATATTACTATCAAATTATTCAACTATCTATCTATATTACTGATTTGTGCAATAAAACAAAATAATCAAAAATCTTCCTTTTTTTTTTAATCATCATCATGACAACAAATGAAAACAATAATCAATTAGAAATCAATCAATCAATCAATTATACTGAATCAATTTATCATTTATGTTATGGTTATTTAATACATGATTTAAAAATTAAAAATAAATCACAATTATTTGATAGAACTATTGCAGAAAATGAAATTGATCATATTAAACCAATATGTTCTATACGTTTATTATTATTATTTTGTAAAGATTGTTTACGTATAAAACGTTATATAACTAATACAAATCGTTATAAACGTTATACATTATATTATAAACAAATTGAAGTGTATTATTTTACACCCTATATGAAAAATATATTAATATTAGGTATCCTATCACCAAATGGTCTAAAACGTAGTTATCAATATATTTATATTAAAAATAATGATGATCATTTTAAAATACAAACAATATTCAATCAAATTTTTGAAAATTCATTAAAAATATTAACAAATATGCCAATTATTGGTCAATTATTAATTAAAAGTTTTCATAATGAATCTATACGTAGTAAAAGATTAGGACAAATAATTTTGGATGATTTACATACATCTAATGATGTCGTTAATGAAATTAAAGAGAATGATGATAATAATCCAATTATTAATGAATAGATAAATGGAAATAATAAAATTTTATCTTAAATAGTAAATGAATATTAGTTTATCTATTTTTTCAATAATATGGATGATACCTTTTTAAAAAAATTCTCATTCAAATATACATTTTTATATGATAATAATTTTGTTAAAACGTATGTGTATTCTATATTTATATAAATAAATTTGTTTATTATTAAAATTTATAATTGTTTCAATGGTTAAGATCACGAGTCAGTTGAAGCTAGACCACCATGGAGAACCTGGAAGCACTGGACGACCGTTTCGTCTTAGTGTGGGACTTCTCAGCAGTGCGCATCCACGACCTCACCCCCTGCGAGATTCGAACCCAGAATCTATAATATCCACAAAACCCATTTGATATTATAATTATTTGTTTTTATTCTAAATTGTAAACAATAAATAGATTATGAATATGTATATGTATGCAAGTAAGTAATTCTATCCATATTGGTATAAATATAACTAGAATTCTATTAGATTGATATTGAGTTTTTGTCTCGTATTGATTGTTGGTCTTTTGGTAATGGTCTCATACTTAATCCATCTAAATGTCAAGCTGTTAACTTTAGCATGAGACATGAACGGCATCTAAACACCATGTTGAGATCCCATAATGCTTGTACCATTGGAGACTCTTTGATAAACACAGTGTCGAAGGTCAATTATCTTGGTGTTACCTCTTCCTCTAATCTCTCTTGGTCTTCTCACGTTTTATTGTTATCAAAGAAGGTTTTCCGTCTGATTTACTACATAGAGAGATTGCATTCTCTTGGGATCACACGTCATTTGCTCTGACAATTTGTTAATTCTTGCATATTACCTATTATTCTCTACTGTTCTCCATTAATGTTTCCCGGGTTTTTGAGAAAAGACTTTGCTGTATTGCGGAGAGTGCTGAAGGCAGTTAGCAAGATGTGTAGTGACTTATTCGAGGTCATTAATAATATGGTTGTGGATAGACATCTGAAGTCATGCAAACTCGTGGCAGGTGTTATTTTATCAGATCCTAACCATCCCCTTCACTCTTATCTTTCTCCTTGTATATCTTCTGGCAGAACGAGACGTAATTACACTAAAATCCAAGCATTCAAGCAAAAGTATAAAAGTTCTATAATACCTTACCTAGGAAATATACTCTGTGACGAACAGGTTGTTAGAGTTAACCTAGTCAATAACCTGCATTCTTAACATGTCTCTAATTTGGAAAGTTGAACAGTTTTTCTTCTTTTTCTTCAAACCTTTTTTTCCTTTTTTTGTCTTTTTTTCTGTAACTTGTTGGTGAGATACCCTTTGCTGAGAATTCTATATTGTACCAAAATATAATATTGAATAAAGCCATTAATAATAATAACATATCACCTAGTCCAACTCATTATGATTTAAATATTGATTATTCAATATTTTGATGTTTTTATATAAATGATACTTATTAAAAGTATTTTGGTTTTATATTCAGACTACTAAACCGGTATTCAATGGTGTTAATGTCTAATATCAAACAATTAATGAAATTTTGCCATCGTTCACCACTGTCTTCAATAAGTTACTATCTCACAACAGACCTGATTAAATTCTACTGATCATGGCTTCTCACTAAAACTTCAGTAAATACTTGTTGAAGCTAGTCATTGGTGATTTTATATTCAAAATGTAATTGATCACAATGCATCTAACTCATCATATCTTATAGTTTCCTGTTAGCGAAGCAGATTAGATTTCATTGTTTAAAAATAATGTACATACATCGGTAATGAAACAGTTGTTGATCATGTAATGCAGACTTGTGTAAAGTGTTGTGATCGGCTAATTTTCGCAATCTAATTTTAGTTTAATAACTATTGAACTTTCTATTCTACATTGGTTTTATATTGTCTATTCAAAATAAAGATGACCATAAGTAGTTTTGTATATTCAAAATTTACTACTGTGTATATCAGTTGTACATTAGTTAAAGAGCATTTTAATATAACTGATGGAACAGTGTAATCACTCTATGTAAATTACCTATTTTTCGATGAAAATTAATAGTGTATCACTGAAACTTAAGTCTGATGAATTACTTTTGATAGTTCTAAGAAAAGGGATAAATTTAATAAGTGAATTTTTCTAATAAAATGAAGTAATAAACAATTTTAATAAGTCGTTCATTAGAACTTGTTTGAAAACACTAGACATAATTATTTTTTAAAACTCTGTAGTGGATTAAAGTTGTTTTGAAAAACGGTAGGTAAATTAATGACTCATGACATTTGAATCTATGGAAAAATATGCGAAATGAAATTTTTCATGTTGAATTCGCTATTCAATAGTGTCTCCTGTTCGTTTCATCTCAATCGGTAAAACATCAAACATATCCAACTACTGTTCATGGAAAACTGCTTTGCTCTGATGATGCAGCTTATATTGAGGTGCACTTTACAAACACGTATGGAGGAACTTCCCTGCTTCGGTATATGAAGGGCTGATACAGATCATTCAACAACTCAATCATTGAATAGAATTGTAATTTCAATCATGAATCGTCACAAAGTCTAAAAAATCCGAATAAGTAATTTTTGCATGGATCAACTAGTACATGATATCGGTGTTCAGGAGAGACATGTTCGTTACCTTATTTTACGGTTGTCGTAACACCTGCTCTAATTCCATAGGTTGTTATTACAGCTTGTTCATCTATTCTCCACCTTTTACATAGTCGTCAAATGGACAGATACCTTTCCCATTTCATTTATGGATTTTTGTCACTGCCATTCTTATCACTATTACTTCATTTGTAATTGATAAATCAAATTGTCTGATTGTTTTTCACAACTTTGCCAAATAGAAGGAGAGATTACTTCCTATTTCACTATAGAAAACTCTGTATAAAATCTTCCTTTAAATATGATTGTACAGCTCAAGTAAAGAATACCTTCGAAAAGAAGAATATTTTACCACTCCGTCGCCTTCATTTTTATAGCTTACGTCATGGGATTATCTTAGATAAACACTGAGAAGAAGAAATTAATGGAAAGTTGTTTTTTGCTAATACTTGACTCCTTCGCAGTGCGCATCCACGACCCCTTTGGAAATCTCAACATTTTTTACAGTGAGAAACACTATATTCTTCCTAGTGGCTGACTTTGAAACATAATTCTTGGAGTTCTAGCCAGACTTTCTACCGTTCAGTTCAGCTGTGTCAGAACTGAAATTTATCACTCTCAGTTATTGATGAGGATCACAAATATTGCCAATCGGTCTACTATGAGACCTAACTGTTCTCGGTTCTATCATCACTTTAGTCGTGAGTGCACACACGTGAGAAGTTCAATATTAGGAAGATAAACTGTATTATTCCTCTTGGTCTTCAGTGGCTGTGCGATTAAGATCAGTTCAACATACAAACCATGACTAAAATGCGTTTCATTTACTTAGTTCATTATTTTATTTCAAGCATATTCTATTGTTGTTTGCCTCGAACAATTTATGATCTGAAAACTTTTCCGTCTTCTTATTTCCCTCCAAACGGTAACACAGTTGTTATAAGAAAGTAATACGGTTTTTTTCTTGTCTATCTTTTAACTTTTCATCGTACACGTATCATCCATTCATTATCAACCTCACATCAACTCGTTTATAAAAGACTACTTATAAACTGGAATATCCCTGTTAGAAATATTTAACTAAATCGAATTCATCATCATATATTGTTGTAATCAGACAGGGGTGTTGTGGATATTACAGCAATTTAATAATTGAATTTATGAGTCAATTGAAGCTAGACCATAACAGAAAACCTAGAAGCACTGAACGGCCGTTTCGTGCTATTATGCCGCAATTTTTTGGATTGGTTGAATTTAAACATTAACACCGTTGGATGCCGGCTGGCTCGGTGGTCTAGTGGTTAAGCGTTCACGCGCGAGACTGATAGGTCCTGAGTTCGAGCCTCACATGGCGGGATCGTGGATGCGCACTGCCGAGGAGTCTCACAGTATGACGAAACGGCCATCCAGTCCTTTCAGGTTTTCCATGGTGGTCTAGCTTCAATTGACTCATATATTATTGTATCTCAAGTGATTAAGTTTTCTTTAAAATACATCAAAATTCTCTCATCATCAAATTAATGAGACTCAAAATCTATTTCATATTCTTTTATGTACATTTTCCAATATGTAAAGATACTTTATGTTTTACAATTATCTTATTATTTTTTATTTAATTATTCAATAAAAACTATAAGCAGAATGAACGTTTTTTTGTTAACTGTTTCTAAACAAGCTTGAAGTAAATTACGAGAATTACTGGGGGAATAAAATCACTAAGTAGAATCCTGCTGGCACTGGGTAACAATTACTTACTTCTTAGTTACGCTTTTTACCTCTTTTGGAGAAGCATAATCCACCCATTAGAGAATAATGTTTATTCAAAAAAACTTTCATATAGGTCGGAAACGAGTTAACTGAGTTATTTTATAGCATATATTTTAAAAAAAAGTCTAGTAACCATGTATAAAACAGCAAGAATCAATCAATATTTATTTATCTCATCAGTAAAATGTTGACTGTCATTTAAATTATAGAATATCAATATGTTTGGGATTATTTCATTATAATAGGTCGAACCATGTAATCCATGTTATTGGTATAAAACTGAAAACAATGTTTACTATCTGTATAATTCATTAATACATGATCTATGTCGAACAAATTAAGATAATCTATAAGAATGTAATTCCATCTTATTAATTACATAATTGACAAAACGTTATCTGGGAATAATTCACATTATGATGTCTTGGTATTACAATATGATTTTTGCATTAGTGTAAACAACATTACTGATACATAGTTCAGTTTTCTTACAATAATATGAAAAGTGTAACGAAAGCATTAAAAAAACACATTCTGATACAAACAAACTCGATAATACTATGTCAACTATATGTTTTGATAATGTTTTCATTCGCTTTGTTTTTATCATTACACGATAATGACAGAATCTAAATGGAAATA